TAACTGATAAAAAATTACCATTGAGCGTTGTTACTAAATTGTAAGATCAGGTTTTAAACAGCATCTTTACCATGGATAAACGCAAACTAGTAGAACTAGTATCATTAATTCTATTTAAAATCAATTATTTCTTGCAACCAATTTTCATTCATCGTAAAATTGATCATTTAAACTTTTACCTTCTTTGTAGTCCAATTTTAAGCATATTAAAAAATCGTTAATGCCATCATGTATGCAAACTGTATTATTAAAACTTATTTAGAATTTAAACTTTTAAATTTGCTTTAATTAATGTGATAAAATTGAAAAAGAAGTAGTAGACACAACTATATTTTTTGTTATGCCACTTTGATTTTTTGATGCTACAATTATGACAGTAAATGACGAGAAGATAAAATTAGATAAGAAAAGTATAATATGCAGTAAACGTAAAAAAATGCAGCAATAAGTAATAACTGAAGACGTGAGTAATTGACGTGAGTAATTTCTGAAGGAAACTTCTGGAATAGTAATAAAAATGAAAATATTGCATGAATATTAAAAAAAATATAGCTTTTCGACTAAAAAATGAATGGAGATTATTATTGCAGAAGACATCAGACTATCATTAAAAATATTCCACTGCTAAGCATCAAATTAACTTTTATTACAAATATTTGATTTTCTAAATAAGTGATGAAAAATTATAAACTTGATTTCTTTGTTGAGATGATCTAAATTTTGATTTATCAAATCTCATGAAAGAAACACAAAATGTACACCATGTTAAATTACCTATGATTAAATAAGTTTCAGACAAAAATTGAAAGACTACTAAGAGAAAAAGTAACTGTAATTGCAATGTCACAATATAATTCCTCAGATTTGATAATAATTGTCTTCTTCAGAAGATTTCCAATGATCGTTTGTCAAACACAATAGATCACCCCTTTCCTACTTTTAATTATTGACTAATATTATCTTATCATTTCTATCATCTATTATTATTATTATTTATTTATTGATATCAGTATTATTAATTAATTAATTTATTCATTTATTATTATTATTATTCTTTCTGCGCTTATATTAATATCAATATTGTTATCGTACACGCTATCATTATTGTTACCATTATCACTTCTGCCAAATGATGTGAGGTAGGATTCATCAATCAACAGCAGGCGCGCTTGCAGGTTATTCTTTCAGCATATCTTGTATCTTTATGAAAGCTTTTCCATTTGTTAACACAATAGTATTTGCTAAAATATTTAACAGCTCAAAAGAAATGATAAGAATTTATTTGTGAATGAAAATCTGTTGCAATCTCGTAAGGCCAAATTAATGAATGTTTCTAAATTATGAATTATAAGCCAATATGCAATATTTTCATTAACAGACCTCATAATTAGAAGTAGGAAAGCTAAGCTATTTATCATTTATTATGCATATTTCACTGCACTGAAACTTCACGCTGATCACATAACTGCAAATTTTTTCATACTAATACAGTATTGCAGTGACACAGTACCATATTAGCTATAAATGGTAATATTAATCTACTATTAATCAAATTGCTTTTAATATTTTACTTACATTATTGATCAAGAAACAGTGTAAAAATAATGCTTAAAAGGTATGAAGGCTAAAAATGTTCATGTAATGCCAGTTTACTTACATATTTCTTATCATGAATAATTGTGTTAAAAATTAATAAAATCTAGTTATAAATAGTTCAAAAAGGAGCTTTTTTTACATACAATAAAAGAAAGAACAGAATATTTTTGTGAGTACATAGTTATTTCTTCAACAGCTTCAAGTCTTTTGAATAAGGTAAGCAGTTTGATAATGAATATCGCTGTAGTCGTTACTTCCTTTTTCATATTGTGACAACATTCAAAGACTAGTTTGAAAGCATAGTTATTTATTATTTATTCGTTCTTGTGTTTGATATTTATATCAAACCGATTACTACACATTACACTGGTATTTCATGTGCTTATGCTTGTTACAAAAAATTTACTTTTTTGTTATAGTTTGTGGCAGTCTATGTTTTAGTTCATTACATGTGTAAAAAGTAGTCAATTTATTGTTTGTTACACATTAATCGTATTGAAATGTAATTGCAAACTTTAATGCTTGTCATTTTAAATTATAAAATACTCAAATAACTCAACGCAATTATATTTTAATAATGCATTATCAATGCTTCCAACAATTATTGTATGCAAAATGTCACACAACTTTCACTTTGAATAGCATACTTTGCAAATTTTCATCTTTTCTCATGCAATTTAAAGCTTGAAACATAATAATTTTAGCTATCCATTCCATACAGCTAATAAGTTTAATTATTGAGTAAATAAAAAAAATAATGGTAGTAAAGAAATAGATACAGCCAAATTATGAAAATATGCTAGCCTGTGGCTAGTTCTTGGCATTAAACGATGATTTAGTACTATCTACCGATATTAATAGCCTTTGATAATATTATCACTTTTAGCAGTAATAACGAAATTCTACTGATTTGCTAATAAAAATAAAGTGAATTCATGAAACTGAGATAAATATTAATAATTGTTAAATAATTACATTTTTGGTCCATTTTTTTAAATCACAAAAGACCGTTTATTATGTTCCAAAATTAACTCTGTCTTCAGTATATTATAAGCTTTCTGGCAAAAAGAAGTTTCGGCAAAAGATTAGTGCAAAATTTTAAAGCTATACAATTATTAGTGAGTAGAAGAACTAGGAGTTAACTCTTGCGCAAACTTTCAATTTTAAACATAATCACAATTTCAGTAAGGCGCAAAAACGCAATTACTTGGCAGCATATTCAGTGCACTTCTTTGTTTTTTAAAAAGTTGCAGTACCAATTTATAAACTTTATTTTTCGAATAACAACATAGTGTCTTCTTTGAAAATTTCATTGTACGATGAAAATGTTTAAATTTAACTTCAACATTTGATAAGGAAACTGATGAAAGTTATATTTAGACTTCCATAAGATTCTCCCACTAACTGGTTGGAATATTTGGTGGTTATATGATTATTTCAACCGGTTAATGAAAGAAATAGCAATCAATGCTTTTTCATTTCGGAAAACTCGTGAAGGTTCGATAGTCTCAAGCATTTACATAAGCAAAGAAAAAATCAAAAAGTTTTATATTTCTCATATGAAGATAAATTTCAGATGAATAAAACGACAGTTCATTCTCACATAGGATTAATATTTTGAGCATATTCAATGTATTAAAAAATGATTGTAATTCTTTGCACAATAAAACTTGACTTAATAAATTATTAATCCTTTCATTTGTATGGACTCTTTGGCTGTTTCACAACAGATCACGTAATGCCACATCCTTGAAAACGTATCAATCAGTAACTGATAACTGCTTTTCTTCTTGTGATGATCAAATCATAGCTATTTTCACAAAGCATCAACACGATAAAAAAAAATTATTCACAAAGCATATAAAATTTACCCTGATGATTTTCTCGGCAGTTCCACACTGTAAAGCAAAGTAATGCATAATTTACCAATTCTAATTTCCAATTTTTCAACGTAAATTATAACTTTACGACATGTTCAAATTTCACTTTTTTGATCTACTGATAAGCATGCTTAAAAAATGGTATAGAAGTTGCAAGCAGGCGCATTTTCTTATTTACATGCATTAATTGTAATGTGAAGCACTTTGGATTTAAACTTTATGCCTAAATGTAAGAAAAAAAAAGAGAATCCGAATAAGAGTTAACAAATTTTACGAAAGGTCAAACAATAGTAAGTTAAAAAATAAATGCAAATAAAAACTGATGCAAACATTAATCACTGCTATAATAAGAGTATTAATAAAACAATATCCACCTCAAATTATTTAGAAAAACGAATTGCAAACTGATTTAAAGTTCAGTCTTTTGAAGAAAATACCTTATTCTTTGGAACATTTCATTCTATTTTCAAAATAAATAAATAAAACAGTTAAAAAAGTTTCATCTCATTTGTTTGAAATAATATATATTCTATTAGTATAAGAAATAAATCTCAGTTTATATTCACTTAAAGTTTAATGTTAATAACAACGAGACAAACAATATAATTTTTTATCATAAAAAATTCAGCAAATAAAAAACAAACAGAACGAAAAGAAATTGCTAGGAAATATAATAATGAAAGTTATACTTAAGTGGATAAAAACTGAGATCTACTTCTTGTATTAGTAAAATATGCACCATTCAGTGAGAATTTTTTGAAAAATTAATCATTTTTACACTTAATATTAATCACCAACTGATCCACAACAATCTCGTCGTTCAAGATTAGCAGATGCTTATTCCTTCTTGTACAGCCATTTGTACTGTTTAGGCATACATACGTTCATCATGTTTGAATGACTAAAAACAAATTTTACAACTTTAGCTAGTATAAAGATTTATATAAAGGAAAAATAAAGACGTGAAGATGGTCGCAATAATTTATTCTTAAAACTAATTTAAGCCTTTTTAATTTAAAATATCGTCTAATTCGGTAAAAATATAAAGATGCATGTATTACTATGATGATAGGCAAGTAACTTTATAAGATCAAAGTAATAAATGAGTAATGTAAACAAATATTTAAGTAAAGGTGCCATACACAATTTCGACTCTTTAGCATAAACCATTATTACTGCGATCTTTACTAAATATCGTACAGTAAAGTGCAAAAGAAGAGCTAATATATGTTCAGATGAGAAATCTTAGAAATAATCAAATTAGGAAATTAACTGAGATTAATCATAACTCTACTGAATATGAAATAAAATGGATTACTCTGGGAGGGCAGAAATTGGCAACATGGCCTTTGTCATCACAAATACTGCATGGTTCATTTTTATCAAGAAAAGATTGCAATAATGGACAATTATCCTTGGCATGTTCGTCTTGCTGACAGCAATGACATCTGTTGGATTTCTGACATTTACTTGCTTTCACCTAAATTTATCAATATAATTTCAAACGCAACTGAATGTGTAATATATGATAATATGTCAATTTAAATTTCATCCAATTATAAAGATGAAATGAAAAAAAAACTTAACTTAGTCCAATAAATTATGTTTAACAGTTAATTAAGTAAAAAATTCCCTTACTAGTTCCCAAGATGTTTCATTTGAAACTTCTCCTGAGCAAATATTCGGTATCACAGGTATCGATGGATTCGATTTGCATGATTGCTCATATATTTTAAATTGATGATGTATCATCGTTTTTTGCACTGCTGTAAGTATTTCATATTGCAGATGATTTAGAATCACTTTCGCGCATACTTTCCAAATCATTTATATCTGCTTGAAATTTATATGGCCTTCTGCTTAATAATTTATGAAAAAAAAGTATGAAATAGTCATATATAATGCAAAAACCCTTCCAATATATCATTTTGCGGTCCAAATTGATAATAATATTGAGGTTTATTTCGTTTCTTACTTTTTCTCCATTTAGATGGCATAAAATTTATTTTTTTATGCACTACTGGACTAGTTTGTAAAGTTATATTTGATAGTTTGCATGGAAGTGAATAACTACGCTGCATATCTACATTTCGTGCAAAATTTGCTGAAAGTATGCAAAACAACAATAACATTAATTGAAGCATAACACGATTTCCACTTATTTTTCTTTTGCCTAAAATAAACTTTAATTTTGTATTCGTTTAGACAGCATTTAAAAGCTCATAAAAATATAATATCTGAAATAACTATTAGATATAAATTATATATTGTAGTTATCTTTTACTGTCAAAATTAGCAATGAAAATAAAAAAATTACAAATAAATTATACAATACTGTACTTATTTTGCTGGAAAGATAAGTAGTAAAGCTTTGATGAATAAAATTCAAATTAATTTACAAAACAAGTGAAAGCAAAAAAAATACAATCTTACCAGCACTAGCATCAATGCTTAGGTCATCGACAATGCTTTGATTGCGTTCATCATCAAAATATGGATCAAATGAATCAAGCTCAATACATTTATCTATAATATGAGGAAAAAATTATGACATACGATAAAAGGGAGAGGAAAATACTTACTGTAGAAAGAAAATGAAACAACTATATTAGCTGTAGAAATTTTTTCAAGGACAAAAAAAGAGTTTCAAACATTTAACAAAGTGTAGAACAAATTTTACCAGTTTGAGAAAGAGGGAAATTTATGGAACTGTTGGAAGGAAATTTATACAACTTTGGTTCAAGATTAAAATGAGGACGCCGAGCAGGGCAACTTTCCCAAACACTTCCAACTTCCACTTGTAAATCCGCTGGTATATGAGTCTTAGGACACGATTTAAATAAATCAAACTGCTGAAATTTTGACAATTAAAATAAGCTCTTTGATTAAAATCACTTAAATAGTTTCATAATTAAACCAAATAATTATCAATACAAACCAGTGAAAAATTTTAAATAATGCAAATTATAGAAGTTTTTTAATCTATATTTTCAGAATTACGCTTTGTAACATAAATTTATTTCAATAAATATGCAGAAAAATTTTTTACCTCATATCTAGAATAATGATTTGATGGTGAGTAGGGCAAAAGTTTGGTATCGATAAAACTCCACTTACACATCTGTTTTTTGGAATTACAGATGCTAATTCTAGAATTTGGACTAAGTGCCTTTCTTCCTGTGTTTTTAAATTGCATAGAATCATGAAGAAATGTTTCTAGTTGATGTCTGACCAAAGGTTTTGTAACTGTGGCAAGAATCTGTAATACTGTGTAACAGTAATTCTGAACAAATAATAGTTAAGATTATATAGTTAGTCACGACTTTAGATTTAATTTACGCAGTTTTGATTACCTTTCATAAGCTTGTTTATTTCTACATACATAACTTTGAAAAAAAGGTTTTATATTACCAATTCTTTGTGTAACAGCCAAGTTGGTCTGAATATTTTCACTCCAGATGGAATTGAAGAAACTGGAGTTGAAACACTACAATTTTCTGTGGATAGAGAAGAACATTTAAGCTTTTTTTTTCTTCTTGATTTGCTGCGTAGAGGAGATTCATCATCTACACTCTAAAACGCAATCTTAATAGTTAGACGACTCATGAAAAATTCCGTCACGAATAAGTTTATAAAAATGGAGTATACGTTTTTTCTAAAGCTATCTCATTCACCAACTTTTTATTTGTAATAATTTAGGAATTCCGCTTTTTATATTAAAAATTTTCATCAAGTAGCAAAAAAAAGTTTTTACCAAAAAACTGCGATTCCTTTCAATTTTCATCATATGTAATTGAATCAATGACTTCCGATAAATATGATAAGTCAAGCGATCGATACCTCTTAGAAGTTCATCATCCTGACAAATACTTAAACACGTCAACTTTTTTGAGCATTAATGTTGAGCAAAAAAAACCACTGAAAAAAAATAACATGAGAATTGCAATTAGTGATTTGAATGCGCTGAGAAACTTTCAAGGAGAAGAAATTAGAAACATTCAATCGAACATGTTTCTTGACAAATCATGGAAGATTTTTTTGATAATTATACGTCAAGAAATATAGAGAGAAAAAAAAGCATAATATGTATGAAATTAATAATAAATGCTAAAAATGATAATCTGCAATTAAGTGAAATGATATACAGGCTACCATGGAAACTAAGAAAAATTATGCGATTGCTTAAGAATCGAAATTTAATATGCTTTATGAAATTAAAGCAACAAACCTTCAAACCTCTTTTATTTCTCCATTTCAACAGATAAAGCATTTCACGAGCATCTGCATAGCGGAGAGCATCTGAACTTGCAACGTAAGCCTCTGCCCACTGCAAAATCCGATGCTTCGCACGAAGTACTGCTATTTCAGGAACAAATTCTGACTTATGAACTCGATTTATTAAAGCAAATATCCACGCGATTATTGCTTTAAGACTTTTATCAGCTGTAAAAAAAATAATTTTTAAAGGGAATTTTAAGCTTGCTAATTCATGACTAAATCAGTTTTCCTGCTAGATGTTGAGTGACGTGAGCATAAAAAACTTACAGTTTAAGCACAAGTTTACGTTAATACTATTATAAAAGTTAATGAACCGATCATATGGCCGAGATTGCTTGAAAAGTCATAAATGTATTTTTTCACTAATTTACTGCTTGAAATTATCCATTATTATATAATAAACAAAGCAAGCATCAAGCATAAAAAGAGTATTAAAATAAGTTATAACTTGATGTATACAAAGTTAAAAGTTCTAAAAATTATCAAATATGGAAAAGTGACATTACTAGGATGAAACATACCGAAATTCAAAATCTAAAATACTAGCAATTACTGTAAGTTACGTTAATCATTTTCTGAAAGATGTACTACAAAGGGTTTTGTACAAATCTTCTTAGCGCCCTCAAACCCGCTATTTCCGACCTGCTTAGTAGCATTTACACATCCTTCGTGATCATCTAATTTATTGAATAAAAATGTCTTTAGTTCTATTGCATTTTCAATTTGCATATCAAAATTGTCTTCCATTTTTTCTTCACTCTTTTTCTTTTCTGTACTGTTTTCATATAGTTCTTTCCCTATTTCTTTAGGGCATATTACATACAAAACAATACGATCATCAGTACTTCCATGGCTTTTATACTCTCTTCCTGTTCCACTACTAGAATCACTGCTTAACGTTCTGTGTCTGATATCCTTCTTCGGTTTCAATGAAACTGAAGTTTTGTCACATAGAGTAAATGATATTTCCGTTTTAAACACTCTTCGTATAATGCTTTTCGCTGAAATTATCCTCTACTCTATCAAGAAGAAGAAAAAGAAAAGTTTGTCGTGTTCGCACTTCAAATTATGATTTATTTTGGTTTGGTTCTAAAAGCGTGCAAAACTTTGCGCTCAGTCGTATATCTGTTTCAGAAATATTCGTGTGATCAATTTTTCATGAGATTAATGAATGAATCTGCTTCAGATAAAACTAAAATAGATGAGATAAGGAAGTAAAAAATAATAATTTCTTATTCTAAATATCTATTAAACGAATCAGATAAGAAATATGAAAATAATGAATGCGTAAGAGCAATCTACGGCAATACTACAATAAAACATTTTATACACACTTCATTATAACGTGGCAAGTATAAATTAATGACCTCTTATGATGTTATCGACCTGACCTTAACGACAGCTCTCAATTCTATTCTCACCAACAAACTACCATCATCATATTGGATGGACAGGCAGAGTGGTAGATTAGTTTGGTAAACATCAATCACGATCAATTTTAAATGAAATAAATTTAGACGAGAAGCAAGTCAGTCATTATTACTACTGACTTTAAATTAGTAATTAGACCTTTATTTTTGTTTTGGTAGAAGTTTGTACTGCTTTTTCATTAGTAGTGAAATTTCTTGAAAATTTTTGCATTCTAACTTCTCACCGAACAGTGATTTTCTTTAACTGTACTTTTAGTAGAGATAAAATCTATTAACCTCAAACGTTACTTACTTAGTATTTAAAAGAATAAAAAGTAAAAAACTTACAAGTGATATTTTTTGGTGTGACTTCAAGTAATGTTAAGAAATTTGGTGTTGCGACCACATAAGTAGTAACTCAATTTCCACTTTTGGTAGAAAAGCTAAAATAAGCTGATTTCTTGTTTCTTACAATCATGTTAGCTTGAACTGAAATTATTCCTTCCTCAACTTTTTTTGCATTTTTCTTTTCAATTTTTTCCCTGATAACATCTCTTGCTGAATTATTCTTTGCCATTATACTTCTTGTTGTAATTTTCCCACAATTTTGCGTTATAATATTTATGTCAAGACAAAATTTCCAATTTGAAATTCAATTGCTATTTCCACTATTACATCACATTCTTTGTATTCATTTGTGTAAAATCATAGTCTTGTATAAGTTATCCTATTGCTCTTTTGTAAACTTACGACAATTCTATCTCACATTTAATTAAATCTATAAAATAATACTAATCAATTAAGTAACTATGAACTAAAAATTTGTGCACATTTAAAATAAATATTAAAATTGCTTCTATAAAAATGTCCAATTCAACATTACTCTTTCTTGCATTTTTAAATACAATTAAAACAGAGAAGAGACAAATCTTATTTCGAACTTTTTACAACTACTTCATTTTAATTACCAATTCTTTACTCATTTATGCTAATTTCGAAAATAATTCCTAATTAATTATTCGACAAATTTAAAAACTCTTAGTTTGTAAACCTTGAAATTTTCGCAAATTCCATCATTCCGGTGGTGATAATTAAGATATAATTACAATTGTTCTCAACATAAAGTTACGCTTACTTGAAGATGTGTTTTGATTGCATTATTCACTCTTTCATTCCATAGTTTCTGAAAAATCACAAGCACATTATATCAAGTAAATGCTAGTATAACATTACTTTCAACATTAATTCTCATTAAAATTTTTTATTAAGCGTAATTAAAATGTAAACTGAAAATATTTATCTCCAAGTCATATTCTTATAACCAAAAATACATTACATCTTGAATAGGATTCTTCGAAATCTGTCAAGCGCTTCACGCATGGATTAGAATTTGCGATTTTCAGAATCTCTTAAAGAAGTTTGTTTGAAAGCTGCGATTTCACACTTTTTTTGATTTATATATTTTCACAAAATTGTGTAATTTACTGCTATTCAATTATATTACTGTCATTGTTTTCTCTTACATTTTTAAACGAACT